CGGAAACAGCCTCTCTACCCCATGGTAGGGGTAAGGTCTGCGCACACACTACCCTCCCTGGACCCCACTGGTGGGATTATAGTGGGTTGTTGTTTTTGTTATTGATATTTTCATATAGTCAAACGAAGCAATCTAGCTAGCTATATCAAAATAAAAGATGATGAAGACCGATTATAAAGAACAACTCCACTACATTACAAGCCAAATGATGAAGACGTAAGAAAATTTGTAAGACGAGGGGCATGCGAAGCAATATTAGAGGTGGATGACACACACGAGTACTGAGCAAGTGATGTTAGTCAATCGTTTCATCAACAAATTGCTAAATTTAGGGAAAAGAAACCTCATTTGAATTGGTGAGTTTTATTCTCGTGACATTCCGTTTTTAATCAGACCATTATTGTTATAGCTTTTAAAACAGCATACTACAAACCCAAAATTGCCATCATCACCCAGGCCATTATCCTTTCGGAATTCAGTTATTCCAACTACTTGTGCATTCTTTGTGTGATCATCCGTTGCACACAAATACATACCAAAATATGCAACCTTAAAATAATTGTTTTATCCACATTCGCCAATATTCTAGAAGCTTTTTCTGTCAAGAGTATGTAAATATTTATTACTAACTCTACAGTCAAACCTCTCTATAACAGACTTGTTTGTTCCGAACGTTTTTGGATGTTATAGGGAAAATATATAATAACATAACATGAAAATTGGTTCCGGAAAAAGTTTGACTTTTATAGTGAGGTGTTGTTATATAGAGATGTTGTTATAGAGAAGTCTGACTGTATTTGTATAGGTGATAGTACATATATATCGACGTTGTGACTTCAGTATGAAGTAACATGACTTTTGAGTCATACTTATAGTTTCGCAAATATTATGTTAAGGAATTTAGTGATGCACGAAAACGATGTTAACTAGCTAGTTCGAAAGGTTCAAATTTTCTTCCCAATTCTAATTATATAATTTTGTCTTTCACGTGGAATAAACTGTATGAGGAAGGGTATATTAAATCGAATGAGCCTTTCTTTTATCCGAAATGAACGGGAAAGACAAAATTATATAATTAGAATCGGGAAGAAAATTTGACTACGTATTTGTAAATGTCCAAAGTCTCTTGCATGTAAGTACAAGAGGAATTAACGGAGGAACTTCGGCGTTATCTGGCCTCCAAATTCTCCATCTCATTGAAAAATAAAATATAAAACCATATTATAAGCATCCGTGCAATAATCTACTACTCCTTATCACGTTTTTTTCCTCACCCATCATTATATTTGCTTTTGACACAACTAATAATCAGCTTCGCACCGAAAAACATAATTTAAAGGCTAAAATACCTCCTACTTAGTATGACTTTATAATCAGAGCTCGAACCCAATACCTAATTCCTGTCATTGTTATTGGTTAAAGTTTCAATTTAATTTTAAATATCTCAATTACATATATAGTTTGGACCTACTATGTAATGTTTCATTATTATTTCTATAATTAGAGGAGGGGGTGGATTGCGGCCCTCATAAACAGATAATGAACTTTGTGGACAAGAGGCGTGCCCACATTCAAACAAGGAATAGTAATTTGGTTTATTCAAAATTTCAGAATTATACTATCATAACCTACTAAAACCAAAGTCAAGCGGCTTGTTATTGGAAATTAACTAACAACAAAATAATTGTTATTATTTTCCGCAATAATTGTTCAGTCATCATGTAATCGGTGCTTGGACTTGACTCTGGTCCTCAAACGAAAAAACGATGACATTAAGTTTGGGGTAGAAGAGTCATTGGGAAAGAATTGCATCCCACATGACCAAGAATTATCTTTTTTAAGTAATTAAATTCCCTTATTTTGGACAATTGTAGTTATTTTCTACTCTTTATGGTCCACTTTAATTGATGTTTTGGTTTTTTTCTTGTGATCCACAATATCTAATTTTTTTTAGACATCAAGAAAGAATTAACTTATTTTTTTCAAAGTTTTCCTTGGAGTAAAGATCCCAGGAGTAGTTATTATATTTCAAAGGGAAAAGGGTCAAAACTGCCCCTAGACTATTGGAGTTGGTACAATAATGCCCTACGTCCACCTACTTTGAAAAAATTACCCTCACCGTTATCTTTTCGGCTCAAGAATGCCCATACGACTAACGGCCATGTTAGATAAAAAAAAATTTAATTAATTTCCACGTGTGAGAACGAAAACGAAAAAAAGGCCAAAACTGTCCCTAGATTATTGGAGTTGGTACAATAATACCTCCCATCTCAAAAAATCTCTCCCCCCACCCCCTCCACCCTCCCCCCTCCNNTAGCGTGTGTGCGTTCATATTTTTCTGTTCTTCTCATCCTTTTTTTGACCTTGCACTCTATTTGAATAATCACTACAAACGTCATTAAAATTTTATTTTCAGACAACCAAAATTTTCACCAATACTTTACGTCATACAACTTTCAAAGACCCTGTTAGGCAAAAAAAACTTAATTAATTTCCATGTATCATCGTCCCATTGGACTAACTTAAGATTCACCTAAATTAAAATAAACTCACCCACATTCTAAGACCCTTTTCCTCCATTTCTTTCTCCTCTTTCTTTTAAAAATTATTCCACTAACTAGAACTCTGATACACCCATTTTTTTCCCTAAGCAAACAAAACTCTCTCGTATAGTTAATCACCTTCCTCTTCCTATTTCTTTGTATATTAAATGTACACATCAATACTCCTATTTTTTTCCATCACAGAAATATCATTCATCATCAACTTTTCTTACTACACTTTACTGCTTCATACAATAAGCTCTATAAAGTATTTATTACAGTCACATTCACCAATAAGTTGTATTCTCTCATATTCTCAGGCATATGATCTCAAATATTTCTCTTGATACCGTCTCTTTTTTAAAATTGGCGGTGTTGATATAACCTGAAGAGCATCCTCGTACAATAGCTTAATTTATGGACATGGTCGGATGTTCAGACTATGGTGAGCCAATGATGAAGAAAAAGGTCGAGGTCCGAGCAGAGACCAAATAAATCATTGGTATAATCAAAATTGGATGCAGAGTTGTCAGGAAATATACAACAAAAAATATTGCAAATGCCCAATGATCATTACTATTGGCAGAAAAATAACTTATTAAACCATAAAATCTTACAATGAAGCATTAATTTCAAAGAGTACCTGATTTCACTCAGAAAATTGATTTAATAAAAAATGTTAATTAAAAAATTAAATTAAGGCCAAAAAATCTGAGATGGAGAGGGAGATCCGTGGGTGTTGAAGGGTGAAAATCTAAGACGGAGTAGGCTAATAAGTGGATATGGGGTGAGGTTTTAATTTAAGCCAATAGAAAATTAACACATAATAAATAATAAATTTTTATCTTAATCAAAATAGGGTTGTTATTTTTTAGGGTATGAGTGGGCCGAAAAGTTGACGTTAGGGGCACGAATGGGCCAGATTTTTAACGGTGAGGGCAATTTTTACAAAATAGGTGGACGGAGGGTATTTTTAAACTTAAGCTAATAGTCTAGGGGTAGTTTTGGCCCTTTTCCGTATTTCAAATGAACAAAATAAGGTTAATAAGGTCAATTTCCTTGTTAATTAATGATAAAAGATAAATTTCTTAATATACGTGAAAACAACAAAAAAATCAATTAAAGTGGACCGGAGAAAATATATGATACTTGATATTAAACAAAAAAAAATGACAGGGCTTATAGAAATTATTTCCTATATGTGTGAGTATGCTCATATTGTAAGTTCAAAGCTAAATAATGGGGGAAGACAGTCAACATAAAACTTATCGAAATTTATGATGAACGCTTACATATTGACCTAAACCTAATTAAAATTGGGATCTATACCAAATAGCCGGCTATATTCTGTTGGACTTTAAGCCATTGGGCTTTAAAGTAGAAGAAGTGTGAATTGGAAATGGAGGGAAATAAAATGGAGGGAAATTGAAAATTTGAAGAAGTGAACTTTTGTCTTATATATAGAATCACTTCTTAAAGCTCTTAAAAGGAGTTGAAGAGAATGAACCCTCGCGCCGTCGTCGCTCGCTCGGCTCGGCTTCGGCTTCGGCTTTGTCAAATGATCGATAAGATTATTTTTGGACAAAATTTATTTAATAATTAATTAAATGCCAAATCACTGCTGAAAATACGCCAGAACCCTGCTAAAGGTTCAGAGGGCCTCTCTGGCCGCGGTTCTGCCGCGATCGCGGTAGAACCGCGGCAGGCAGGTTCAGAAAGCCCCTCTGACCGCGGCAGGCAACGTATTCTTCTGAAAATGCACCTTTTCCAGACACTTCTTCTGATAATTGCCTATAAATTCTGAGGCAAGGCTCCATTTTCTACACACGAAAAACACTCCAGAACTTCTTTCTTTCTGAATATACTGCATCCTAATTCGCAGTCTCTCTCTCTCAAATTCGTAAGTGTGATTTTGCTCGGTTCTTTGAGTTCGTTGGTATCCTGCAGTTTGTATTGCCATTGTTGCAGGAAGGTTTATTCCGTTTTATCCTGGGAGGATTTAATCCATTACCTTGGCAACGTGTGAGGGGGTTAAAATTCCTTAAGGACACACAAGAAAATTGTGGACTCGGAATATTTCTTAAACTCTTCTGTTTTTCCAGTTTCTTTTATTTTTCTAACAGTTTTTTCTGATTTTTGGTTTAACACAGTAACGCTCACATATTCATTGTTTACTTTTCTAGTTATATACATAGATTATACGTTGATTATAAACATATAATACATAAATTATACATATATTATACCTTCACCAGCAATTTTTAGTTTAAGTGATTGAATGAGCGACTATTAGGATTAATTCTTCATTAAAATTTACATAACTAGCCCCAACTTAAATATTTGCAGATATTGATATATAGTGATTGTTAATGTCAATAGAAATTAAACTTAGACAACAAAATGACGTGCGCGTGTATATCATCAAGTCATGCACAGTTGCTGTAGTAATAGCACTGGACTTTCCATTATCTCACTGCCTATATCTCTCTCTCCTATTTATTCCTAGTAGCTGACTATTAACACACAACTAGGAACACCAGCCATTTTAATTTCACCTACAGCTGTTGCTTCTTCTTCTTCTTTTCTTCTTCTTTCTTTGTGTATCCTTAAGGGCCAAGCACTACAATATGGCCAAAGGAAAATTGGCAGTGGTCCTTTTGATTTTGGTAGTAGCAGTATGTACTGTGAACGCTACCAATTATAAGGAAGAAGAAGAAGCTGACAGAATAATATCTTTGCCAGGTCAACCTAAGGTGTCGTTTCAGCAGTATTCAGGCTATGTCACTGTCAATCAAATTGTTGGTAGAGCTCTCTTTTACTGGCTTACTGAAGCTGATAATGAACCTTTGTCTAAGCCTTTGGTTGTTTGGCTTAATGGAGGTCAGATCTCCCTCTTTTCTCTCCCTCTCCCTATATCTTAACTTCTACGCACCGACAATATATCTTCTTTTTTTTAAGATAATCGAATGATAACTAAGAAGGGAGTCTTGCCGTAACTGGTAAAGCTGCTGCCATGTTATCACTAGGTCGCGGTTTCGAGCCGTGAAAACAGCCTCTTGCATAAATGCAAGATAAGGCTGCCTACAATAGACCCTTGTGGTCCGGCCCTTCTCCGGACCCCGCGCATAGCGGGAGCTTAGTGCAACAGGCTACCCTTTGATTGAATGATAACTAACATTGTATAATGTTAATGTATATAACATAAAGTCATACTATATAAGCACCTGTCTCTGCATGTTTGAGTTGCACTGGTGTTTGTGTTTTCGCTAGTGTACAAGAACAGTTTGGGATGTAAAGGAGGTATGGTTTAATTTGTTCATATTCTAATGTGGGGTCTGATTTCTGAAAACAATGAGCTCAAATTTTATCTTTGTGTAACTTCTTTCTATTTCGCACGTACGCACCCTCTAGGGGGTGGGGGGTGGGGGGCTAATGTCTGACAGATATAGGTTAATTTCCTCTGGGAAATGGTCTACTAATTATGATTAGTTGAATTTATGGTTACTGTTCTATTCATCTTTTCTTTATTACAGTACCTCTCTTCTTTTGTTGTAACTAAAAGGAAATCTTGAGAAAAGGTGTTTAACTTTAACCAGAACTTTATATGCAAACTGCTACAGGTAAAACGTCTAAAAATCCACATATATGATATATCTATATATACTTCTGTTCTTCATTTCTCCCTCCTCTTCTATAATTTCTGGTTAATTTTTATATTATTTCTGTTATTATTTTTGAATTATCATACACTGTACGTTGCTATTTTTTGGCTCATGATATTTATTTTGCGTGTTTATAAAATGTATGTAAACTCATTTTGTCGCTTAGTTGAGGGAGGGGCCCTTTAGTTTAGTCATCAATAGTGATGACTAAAGTGTCGACTGATAATATGGTCCTAAAATCCATTATCCATATGAATGATACAGATGAGACACTACCTTTGCCAGTTGCTCTTAATTTCTCTCTGTCTCTCTCTCTCCACATTAATATTTGCACGCAGGAGGAAGTAGGAACCAGTGAAAATCAATGCTTACAACCAACCACTCTTTTAATTTAAATACACTCCTCATTTAATTTTCAACTTCATTTGGTGCACTGAGTCTAGATAGATGCCCATACCAATTACGTTTGTGCAATTATTGAATTCTTGAATTGTGTGATCATCGTTTCTAACATGTCGTTTGGTACACTGACTAAATTATTCCGGGATTATAATCCTGGGATTATATAATCTCTCGACTAATTTATGCTACCTAGGAGGTGGGATAATATAATCCCAAGTCTGATGGGATAAGGTGGAATAAGGGGATATCCTTTATTAAGACTGAGATTAAATTTATACCATATTTGGTTGACGGTATAAATTTATCGTGGGATGTTCAGACCTAGTAATTCTTTATAATATTGAGTGGTGGTGAGACGTAAACCCATGACTTTTGCATGCCCTAATATAATATTTAACTTTGTAAACATTTCTCTAAGAGAAAACATATGTAAGGGCAGACATGAATCTTGCACGCTTAAATTCCTTTTGATATTGGGTGATGGTAAGACTTGAATTCATGACTTTTACATGCTCTAATATCACGTTGAATTGCACATATATCACTTCTAAAAACATTAATCTGGTACAAAACATATTTTTAATTACTGAATTATGTCTTTAACAGTAACTATCTTAATCATGTCAGCTCAAACCGTGTGGTCATTCTCTTCGCACAAGACATAATAGCTTATATCTGCAATCTCATGAACATTGCGTAGTTTTTAAGGATCGTAATGGTATAAACCAATATGTACCGTGGCTTTATATATGGTGACCTCAGGAATATGGTGTCTTTTATGAGAATAAGAAAGATTCTTTATCGTGAATTCTGTTCAAAATATTGAAGTCTAGCCAACTAAGTGTAGTACTGTTTGAGATCTGTCGTCATTTTCTTATAAATTGGGTTTCAATTTCTTGACTATATGGTTCATAATTGGATACATGTGCTGATCTCAACCGTGTGTTATAAAAGGACAGACTCTTCTGTGTGGACCCCCTTTTACTTGTAGTAGTATACCGTACTAATTAAATTTTGTTTTTGCAATGATATAAGTAACTTTTCATATTAAGCCTGATATGATTATTCTGATAATAAGATAATAACCTGTTATTAAATTGTACTGATAGTGTAAAAATTATTTATTGATGTCGATTGGAAAAACCAGGTCCAGGATGTTCGTCAGTGGCTTATGGTGCATCGGAAGAAATAGGGCCATTTAGGATAAACAAGACATCTTCAGGGCTGTATCTGAACAAATTTTCATGGAACAAATTGGCCAATTTACTATTCCTGGAAACTCCAGCAGGAGTTGGCTTTTCCTACAGCAACAGGTCGTCTGATCTCCTTGACACCGGGGATTATCGCACTGGTACATAGTATTTATTTAGGCCCTCTCCTTTTTGTCCTATTGCCATTCAATTATTTCTTATCCATTAGTAGTGTTCTTGAAATGTCTCAGTCTGTAGACTGATTGACCATAAATTTGTGATCATGTATGTTTGCTTATTCTAACTCATGATGGTCTAGTAAAAAACACAAAGTGATGGTCGCGTCGCGTGATTGCTGTTGATGATTTCTTCAATGGAGAAACACATGGTGGTGAACAGTGCCCATTTAGGAGCACAGAAAGTGCATTTATATTAGCACTCACTAGCAATGTGGCCTACCTTTAAGATTTTTGGATCTAATACTGCTACAGCTTAGCTACCTTACATGTTGTTGTCTAGAATCATCTTACTTTCACTACTATTCAATCAATAAAACAGTTAAATCTTCACACAGATTACAAAAATATTTCCTGGAAATTGATATGATTAAATTCCTTAAAAAATTGTTACAACCTCGTAGTACTCAGTTTTGGCTAGTTCCTATTGATTTGGAAAAAATTTATCCGCACCTGATTAATTTTGCACAAACTATGTTAATATATAGTGGGATGTCACTGGTTTTTTGTTGTAGTTGTTGTTGTTATGTTAATATATCGTGTTTAGATGATAAATTCATGTGAGAGTACACATGTGCATAGATTGGTTTGTTACAAAATTGATTGTGGCTAAGCTTTTGTTTGGAATATGCAGTCTTTCCAAATAATGTAGTCAGTCATTAAAGAAAGATGCTAACTCTTTCGTAAATTTTATCAGCTAAGGACTCTCTGCAATTCCTTATCCACTGGATGAATCGCTTCCCACGCTACAGACATCGCGAAGTCTACATCACCGGAGAGAGCTACGCTGGTCATTACGTCCCTCAGCTAGCCAGAGAAATAGTCCATTACAATGCCAATTCTAAGAACCCAATCAACCTTAAAGGATTCATGGTAACCTGTCAATGTCTATATATAATTGGAGTATTATATACCATTTTCAAACTTGTTAGAGCTAATTTAGGATGTTGCATTTAGGTGGGTAATGCTGTGACAGATAATTACTATGACAACCTGGGAACAGTGACATATTGGTGGAGCCATGCTATGATCTCTGATAAGACATACAAGCAACTGGTAAACACTTGTGATTTTCGACGCCATAAAGAATCAAACGAGTGTGAATCTTTGTACTATTATGCTATGGATCAAGAATTTGGTAACATTGACCAATACAACATTTATGCTCCTCCTTGTAACAATTCTGATGGTAGCACCTCAACTAGACAGACCATGAATTTACCCCACCAACCTTACAAGGTAAATAATTACCTCAATAATGCAACATTTTACTCATAGATATTGCTGCTTGATGTATTTGGACTTGTATCTATTAGATGTTCAAGCAGCTATCAGGTTATGATCCTTGCACGGAGAAGTACGCAGAAATTTACTATAACAGGCCTGATGTGCAGAAGGCTATGCACGCGAACACAACTGGAATTCCTTATAAATGGACAGCCTGCAGGTAAATAAATCGACTAGTGACTAACAAAACAGAACTTAGTTTGAAAAGAATTTGCAGTAATAGCTGTTTTATGTTGTAACTGATTGATCTTGCATCTATGTTACAGTGAGACTTTGAATCGAAACTGGAACGATACAGATGACTCAATTCTTCCAATATACAGGGAACTAATTGCTGCTGGTTTGAGAATTTGGGTTTTCAGGTATGTAAAATTAACTTGAGAGCTTATTCTCAAAATTTTCAGGCAACTCAATTTGATCATATATTTTTGTTTTTTATTTTTCCTTTTGAATTGTCATATTGCAGTGGTGATGTTGACTCAGTGGTGCCTGTCACGGCTACAAGGTATTCTCTAGCACAGCTCAAGTTATCCACCACAATTCCATGGTACCCTTGGTATGTCAAGAAACAGGTGAGTAACACGATTTTTTATATGGGCTGATAGTGTAAAATTTCTTTAACCGTTAGTGGTTATAAATTAAATATATGTTGATTATTAATTTGTAATTATGTCTGTGGTTAATTATGTAAGGTGGGAGGCTGGACGGAGGTATACAAAGGGCTAACATTTGCAACAGTGAGAGGGGCAGGACATGAAGTGCCATTATTCAAACCTAGAGCTGCCTATCAACTCTTCAGATCATTTTTAAGAGGAGAACCACTTCCCAAGTCATGATAGTGGCGAGACTAAATTATTGTCTATTTGTCAACAATTTCATTTGCAAATCTTGGTTAAGAAAGAAAAAGAATTGTCAAGTTGAACAAGAATTGTTTCAACTTTAAAAAGAAAGTTGATGTGAAAGAGAGAGGGGGTGTAACAATTAGGACTTTGGGATATGAAAAAAAAAAAAGGGTATCAATTTGTTGTACGTTTGTAACAATATTATTAGGTAGATGGGGTTTGAATTCTACTCCACGTGTTTTAGGAAAAAATGAATTTTCTTAATTTTCAGATTTCAAGTATTCCAATAAAGAAGGGTTGAATTGTTAGCAATACAGCTTGACTATCTTCCGCAATTGCCGAACGCCGTATGCCAACTTTTTGTCTATTCATCACAACGTGGGCCCGTTATGAAGTGCGGCTTTTGCGCAAATAGTCCTCTATGAAATTCAAAAATAATCAGATTTACAAGTAGTAATTGAAAAATAGCCACAGTTTCAAAAGTAATGGAAATTTAGCCACTTTTCGTGTGAAGATAAATTTGAACGAAAATACTGTTCAAAATCCGAAAAATATTCCAGCATAATATGGTGGAAGTTCATACACAGGTGCTCCAATATCCAGTACATTATGCCCGAACTTTTAGTGTGTTGGAGTTCTAGCATAATATGCTGGAAGTTTATACACATTTGCACCGATCTCCAGTATATTATGCTGGAACTTTCCTTGTTGCAGCAAAATAGTAGCTATTTTTCAATAATTTTACAAACGCTGGCTATTTTTCAATTACCAATCCGAAAACTGGCTATCCCGTACTATTTTCACTCTATTAGGCTAGAATTTAAATTTTGTTTCCGTTATTCTAATAAGAAAATAGATTTCTTCAAAAAAATAAATTTCATTCACCTACTTTTAAAAGTTAAATCTTGCCACTGAACTGGACATAATTAAATAGTGTCTCTAAGGGATTGTTTCGTAGGATGTATTAAAGAAAATGCATATATGAAATTTGGTATTATTAATTCTTTGTTTGGTACACTTTTTCACTTATGGCTTATGTATAACTAATTTATCATATGTATAACCAAATAGTACATTGCAAACTATGGTATTAACAATATATACCAAGACTATTACATGCATATGCATGGTTAAAGATAAATTTGCCGTTGAAGTCCCTCAGAGCTAAAGAATGTGGAAAGTATTTTTATAAACAAATAATTCTTTTAAAAATTATATACAATGCATGGTATTTTAAATATATCATACCAAACAGTCATAAGAAATAATCTCAACATAACTAATAGTATCAGCATAACTAATTCTTACATTGCTAATCCCCGCATTACTAATACATCTTATTCAATATTATTCTTATTCGCTCTGCCAAACGACCCCTAACAAGTAATACGGTACAAATAATCCCTATGAAGTCCATAGTGCTCCAATAAAATGATAGTCATGTCTCCTCTATTACCAAAATAATGGTATAGTTCGAAATATGAAGTTAAAACGTTTACTTTTTGTGCTAAATTGTACTATTTGAACGAATTTCATATCTAGAATTACCCAAAAATACTTTGACTCTCATGTTTTCGGATTAAGATTGGAAAACAATTGTAGTTGGTCAAACAATTATTTGACCTTCTAAATTGTATGTCATTTAAATTTAAATTGTTTCTAGCTCGTCAAATTAGGAAGTTGAGTGTGAAAGGTCCAGAAATTAAAACAGTCAAAGCACATGACCATTTGCCTTCTTTTAGTTTCTATATTTTGATGAGGAATCTTAAGTCAAGAACTGCACTTGCTGCCTATATTTTCGGGAATTTTAGCAAAATTTTCTGTTTCATGCAACTTACTAAATTGTTATTGTCCAAAACTATGTTTAGTTTAACAAAATGAATTTTTTCTTAAACACATTTATGCTAATTCATTATTGTGATATCAAAAAAGTATTTAGCATTTTTAATAAGAGAAAGATTATTTGGATCGGTATTCTTGATAAAAATTAAAGAAATAAATTTGGGTTTTATTGGTCGAAGTGGATCGTGGCAACGTGCAACATATTATTGTATCTTCTTTATCAGACGAAAGAGACATTTTAACAAATTAGGAAGAGGACAGAACCGATCAATTCAAAACAATGTGGTCTTCCTTCATATTCCATTTGGACCTAAACCGTGGGGTCATTGCTTTCTTTGTACTAGTACTAGTATATATAGTTTAATATACCAAGATGGAACTACATATTCTAAAATTAATACAAAATTAACTTAACTAGTGCAATATTCAAGCTGGAGTTAGATTGAAACAGATTAACTAAATTCGGGCTGGATTGTGCAACTTGTCACGTTGTACGTCCAGAATGCCCTTTTTGTTCTTTCAATTACATTTGAAAAATAAACTAATTAGATGACCAAACATAGACTTTATAATAATAGAGCATTAATTGTTTTTTGTAATATTTTCATGGCTGCTAAGTACTATTAAGTATTAATTATTACTCCTTTCAAGACATGATTATCTTGACATTTTCTTTACTTGTAAAACATGTCAGCTGTTGTGAAGAGTTTTATTGTGTGCCTCACACAACTGACGTTAGTTGTGTGAAGCTTCTTTTTGTCTCACAAATTTGTGGACTCTAATCTTATATATCTGGGTCCACAAAACTTGAGACAAAAAAGATGCCTCATACAACTAGTGTCAGTTGTATGAGACAAAAAAAAATAATTCCATGGGTTATCTTTACACTATGTTGGCAAAATCGTGACTTGTCCCCATTGTCATTCATGACTATACTAGTTACGATTAGCCCTGGCGACGTCCGGGCCCAATTGTATAGTTAAGGCAATAAAATTGTGTGAAAATAGCACGGGCTAGCCAGTTTTTGGACTGGTAATTAAAAAATAGTCAGCGTTTGCAAAGTCATTGAAAAATAACCACTATTTTGCTGCTAACACGGAAAGTTCCAGCATAATATACTAAAGATTGGTGCAAATGTGTATGAACTTCCAGCTTATTATCTTGGAACTCCAACACAAGAAAAGTTCTAGCATAATATAATGGAGATTGGAGCACATGTGTATGAACTTCTAGCATATTATACTGGACCAGTATATTATGCTGGAACTCTAGTATATTATGCTGGAATATTTTTCGGATTTTGAACAGTGTTTTCGTTCAGATTTATATTTAAATAAAAAAGTGGTTAAATTTCGATTAGTTTTGAAATTGTGGCTATTTTTCAATTACCACTTATAAATCTGGTTATATTTGAATTTTACCCTAAAATTGTGCTTTCATAGAAGTATAAGTAAAAATTTCTTTCGAACTCCCCAAAATATTATTGGGTTCGTTTCTCTTTTAGGTATTATTATTGACACTACAAATCTAATCCGAATAAAATAGATACAAAAAAGGTGTAGATGGGAGAGTTAGTTTCTCTTCATGCATGAGCCTTTAACATAAAGATGTCCAAGATTAAGCAGAAAATATGGTGTTTACCCTAAAAATAAATAACAATTGAATTTATACGTGGTTTTAAGGATATGTGATTTTATCCGGCACAAACTGAGAAAATACGTAAACTGCTATTGAAATTAACTGCAAATAGAAATAAAAGCAAACCGAAGAGATAACTTTGGCTATCGAGCTAGATCGCCGTCGAACCAAAATTATATCCCACTGGAAAATAAGAACAAAGTAACAGAGTATTGAGAGCTTAAGAGAAAGATAGTATATTGCTTTATGTAGCGTGAATATGATGCCTTTTACAAATGATCAGCTCCCCTTTATATAGTAGGGGAGTTCTACCCTTGATAAAATTCTAAATACAGTAAGAAATTCCATGATTAGCTAATTAACCGGCCTCTTGTTGATACGTGCCGAGATTTCCGCCGTGGTCCTCGCCTGATTGCGAATATTTTGTTTTTTCGTTATTCTACTCAGTAAGCTTCCCTCGATCTCTATGTTATTTGATCTCAATCTTGGACGATCTCGATCTTGTTCGATCTCGATTTTGGTTGATCTCAATCTTAATCGGTCTCAGGGCCTCGAGCTCGACAACCTAACTCTACACCATAGTTCGATATAATATGAGGCTAATCCTTGGCTTATCGCACTCCAGTCTCGATCAGTCATACGGAAAGGGCAATCCCGAATTTGACCGTATACAAATAGTCCCCTCGTTTCTCGGAGAGAAGGCGACGAGAAACGACATGAATTTTCCCAGTCCCGTCTCGATGTGCCGTGACGTAAGCGATGAATCCGATTATGACATCAGCGACAACCGGATACTGAATGTCACGTCGGTTCGGGTATCGAGGCATTAAATGCCTGTCAGTTATTGTCGACCACTACCGGTTCTGAACTATTGCCAGCTACCTATAAAAACCCTAGCCTTTCCTCATTCAAACTTTTACACTCAAAGTCCTCCCTACCTTTGCTTTTTCTTCAACAAGTCTCTATGCTTTACAATCTTCATACCCAAGTTCCTTGAACCTTAATCAAACCGCGTATCATCCCAATCCTGTTTTCCCTTGTTCATCAATGACTAAAACTTCCAAAACCGTGCCGCAAAAGGAAGGCGCTTCATTACGGCCCGCCGGCGATGAGGCTCCGGCGGAACCCCACCCTAAGGAATTCGTTCCGCCAGGGTGCCCAACCAATGTTGACTTTAAGCTCGAAAAGACTCCCGCGGTGCCGGGCCGATGTTAACCGGTCTCGAGGTATATATGGACCATTACCAAAGACATCCTCAAAAGGGTAAAAGAGGAGTGTAACTGGAAGAACAAGGATGTAGTAGTTCCTACTCTTGAGGAATCTATCACCACTCGCGTGGAGGTGTATCTAAGTGTTTAAACTTACCCCTTCATGATGGGTCCCTTAGACCCCATCATCATCGCCTTTTGCAAGAGGTACGACGTCACCCTCGGCCAAATCCATGTGGAAGTGGTAAGCATTTTTAAAAAGAGAAAAAGATTATTTGGATCGGTATTCTTGAGAAAAAAATTTAAAAAAAAATTATTTGGGTTTTATTGGTCGAAGTGGATCGTGGCAACGTGCAATATCTTATTGTATCTTCTTTATCAAACGAAAGAGACATTTTAACAAACTAGGAAGAGGACAGAACCGATCAATTCAAAACGATGTGGTCTTCCTTCAAATTATATTTGGACCAAAACCATGGGGTCATTGCTTTCTTTATACAAGTATAGCTAATACTGTATGGGTCAAAACCCGACTAAGGAAATTCAGCATGAAGAGGCGATTATCATGATTTATTCGTGATTATCATGAGCAATTTGGCCGAGGTCGACCAGTGATTAACGGAACG